GCTCCCTCTACAAGTACAACAACCAAAAGACGCCCGACCCAATGCGGACCCTGGCGTGAGCCCCTCATGGGCCCAGGCCGTGCGTAGCTTCGTAGCTTGCCGAAGGCCATAGCGTTTGGATTTTAAGCCTCAAGTCTGTGTAAAGGCTTGTTGTGGATGGCACAGGCACTGCTTTTTCCGAAAGCCACTGTACTCCATGCTCACCCGCCTTGTGGCCCTCAGCTTCAGCGAGTCTTCAACGCAGTGCTGCGGATTGCTGGCAGTGCCTCGTAGAGATCAAACGTGCAGATCACAGAAAAAAGGAGCGCCACATTGCCCAGGCTGTAAAGTCGCATGCTTTGCTCTTTCTGTAGCATGCAGTCGCCACGCCGTTAGTTTCGAGGCTGAGGAAGGAGGTCTTGAAGAGAAGATACGGTCCGACTTGGTCAGTTTGGATGGTCGCCGAAAGCTCAGCCGAGTGGACTGAAGCCTGCATGTGCAGGGACATCTCAGGTCATAGTCTTGGACATGTGCAAAAAGAACTGACATAGAATTGCGTCATTGGCTCTGAAAGGCTTGGAGCGTTTGGGCGGTGATGTCGGCAATTATTTGGCTGCCACAGAGGCAAATACTCCTGTGCAACCACATGCTTGCCATTGTAGCATCTGTATCACGTTTGGGTTCTTTGGTCTGAACATGGAAAGCACTACCCAGTTTCTTTTTGCTGGTGCTTTAAAGGCTCAAGGCTTTCACCGGGTATTGGCATTGCTGAGTGCGCCAGATGCCCGAGCCGGTGGGGATGAGAGCTGATGGAGCCAGAAAGTTCTTTTGAAAGGTAAGCTGCAAGTTCAAAAATGCCTCCGGCGAACTCGGAGACACCAGCTGTGGAGCTCGAGGAAATCGAGAAAGAATTGTGGCGGCTTTTTCTGCATCAAAGTTTCTTGTGAGAAATGTTCGGCACATCCAGGGCGGCTTCATATGGATCACGGCACTCTGCTGCGTTCCTCGTGTGCCCTCCAAGGCGCCAAAAGCTGAAGTGGGAACAAGATCTTGATGATCAGAGGGAGCACAGACTCCTCCGAGAAGGTGACCAGCTGTTCCCTGCACAGTCCTGCAGCTCTCATTTCACGTGATCCGGTTCCTGCGAGGCCTCTTTTACCATGATGACAGCTTAAATGGCCTCAGTGATGACGACAGGCCACTTGAAGCAAGCCGTCTGCTGATAACACATGGCGTGCTTGATGTCAGAGAGTCATCTGAAATATCGAGAAATGAGTGTTTGCCTTGACATGCCATTGGTCAGGATGTGGGAGATAATCAGAATGAGTTTCCTACAGGTCGCCGACGTGCTGGACAGCTTTTCGGATTCACATGGACAGGTTCTGACTAGCAGATCTTATCGTGAATCTGTCTGGTCACTTTGTATGTGTCCACCCAGTCAAAGATGACAGAACGTGTGCTAGCAAAGGTGTTGGGCTTGCGCATTACTTCGAATACTTCTTACAACGCGGAATTCTCGGGGCGAAGCACATGCGCTTGCTCACGCTGATGCTTGTTGTAACGGTTTCTTTGAAGGCTTGATGTGTCAGGTTTAATACATGCGGACTGCGATTCACTTCCACCTGTCCTACTTGCATCCTACGAAACTACGCAGGAAGTACGTGGAGACAAAGATGCCAAGAATCAGGGACCCGATCGAGCGGGCAGCAATTGTGGATGCAGCCGCAGAGTGCATGCAAAACGAGGATCCTGTTTCATGCCCCACTGTTCCACAACTTGTGAGAAAACCTGGCAGGACATGCGCTTCTTTGAGGCGAGGTATGGGGACATTGACAGGCTACCTGGCAGCAAACCTGAGATTTGAGCTTCGCTTGAGGAAACAACATGTGGTCCGCATGTGACAACAAGATGCCCATACAGAATTGGCTTGAGCCATTCTTAGATGGTTTCTCCTGAAGCTAGTCCTTCATGCGTCCCATCCCTCAAATTGGTCTGCATGAATACAGAAAACAAGGCATATTTTTCAGGACAAAAGCAGCACCATTGTTTGTTGGCTGGCACTGGAGGCAGTCTAGTTTAGGGGAGCAACGCCTCAAAGCAGGTTGAGCAGCAGTTGCTATTCTTGGCCAGGTCTTGCCTGCAGCAGCATCTTGTTCTTGTTAGTCGTTATTTATGCGCGAGATCAGAGCCGGACTAGGCTATTTCTCGAAAGCACCGCGAAAGGTTCCTCGTCAAAAAACCGTTGCCGTGCTTACACCACAGCACCTAAGCCACTCACATACACCACAGCATCTACATCGAACCACGTACACCACAACACCTACACCGCACCACGCACACCAGAGAACCTGCACCGTCTCTATTATATTCGATCTTTTTTTTTTGCCCAGGGTGGGTTTGGCGGGGCTCGGCGGGATGCACCCTTCTGCGGGGATCGTGCGTGTCGAAGCGCTCTCGCTGTGGCGAACCCTCTCGCTGTTTTCAGCGGGTGGAAGCACTGGCGCGCATTTTGCCGAACGCACCGCGAAGGCTTCTTCGTCAACAAACGCTTGCCTTGCTTACACCACTGCCACAGCACCTAGACTGATCACATACACTGCACAAAGTACACCACAGCAGCTACCCCGCTCACATACACCAAGACATCTATACCGCGCACATACACCACACCAGTACACCACAGCACCTATACCGCTCACATACCCCAGGACACCTGCACCACGCACCACAGCAACTTCGTAGCACCAGTACACCACAGCGCCTGCACCGCCCACATACAACACAGATCAACACCGCATTCATCTACACTAAAGCTCGCCACCTGCAGGCTAATGGATGACAGTTGGCACATGGTAGGGATGGGACGATCATCTCCACAATCATCTCAAAGACCATTCTCTAAAATATCTTAGGCGCCGAAGGTCGTAGGGCTCTTTAGTGCTGTTTAGGCGCCGAAAGGCGTAAGGTTTCTAGGCGCCGACAGTGGCGAGCCTTAAGCTACACCACGCCACGTACACCACAGTACCTGCACCGCCCACAGACACCATAGCACCTACACCGCACCACGTACACTAGAGAGCCTACACCTCCTCTGTTTTGTTTGTAGCGCCAAGCCACAAGGTTTGCCTACATTTTCGCCTTCACAGCACCTACACCGCACCACGACGGCAGCACCTAGAACACGGCCAGATATGCGTTCCTTGCTAATGTGGCACTGATTGCTTTCGGGATAAGCGGGGTTTAGTCTCAAGAATGCTCTAGATGGTCAGTTCCTTGGAGACTAGACGGCGATGTCGAACAGTGCTTCCTTTGGAATGTCTGTCACGGCGCTCTCAGCGTGTGAGCTTATGCCCTTGACCTCAGCATCTCGAAATTCTGTCTTTGCACGTGCGTGCACGATGAGATGTTCAGACTCCAGACAAGTTTTTCCCTCGCAACCTTTGTTTTGCTGATGGATCACAGCTTAAGAAAACAACTCAAACAGAAGCACAAACATAGCCTCAGCCAATCTCGTCCCGCAATGTCTGCACCAAGCAAAGGCGCGATCGCAGACACGAACTCGCACACAGCAGCGCATTTGCAGAAAACTCACAGCGAAGACTACAATAATTCATTAAATTGCATGTCTCCGTGGTTCCTTAAAATGGGGGCTTCAGAACATAAGAAGACGAAGAGGGACTTCAAGGGACCAGACTACGTGACTTGCAAGGCCCTGCTTTGACTGCAAGGCAGATGTCCGGAGCAGTCTGCCAAACCACTTGGCTGCAGACCATCGTGACTGCAAAGTCAGGCAGTTGTCGAAGCCTTTTGACTCATTTGTCATGTTGGCCTCTTCGTCCTGTGTTTTGGATGGACATCCGCGGTTCCCCTCTTTCTGCAACTGGCCCCAGAATCAGAAGGACAGCAAACCAGGAACAGAGTCGCTCAACAAGTATATTCGAAAAGTCAGGAAGGTACTACACAAGTATTACGAAGGCGCCAATGCTAATCAGGAGCCTGAATCTCTCACATGCTGCTAGATTATTGGGCCTTGCGCGCCGGACGTGGACGTGCGGGCTTGCGTTTGAACCCTAGGGAATCACTAGGGCTGAGGTGAGGAGGATGCGGATGATAAAGATGATCACGATCAGATAATTGTTTTGCGATTTCACAGCCCTATCTTTCCGTTGTTTGCTCACGTTGGTGAGCAAAACTGCCTTCCGTTTGGGGGGTGGCATTCACGATGGTGTTCAGGAAGGCGCGCAGATACAGACTTGGCATTTGTCACCTGAGGGGCCCAGATAGGGCTGAATATTGTTCTTCTTGTTTAACACACGCTATGGCCTCGGTGGAGAGCTGACATTGTTTGGAAGCGTGTTCCAACTCTAGAAACAAGTGCGATGCCACGCGATTTCACTTGTGTGCTTGTGTGCTCTGAGCCAAGCCTTGCAAAGCATCGCCAGGGTGCTGGCAGTTGTGTTGAGCTAGTCTGCTGTAAGGGCTGTGGCAGATGTCCCCTTCCGCTTTGAGGTTAATACTGGACTGCCAACATGCGCGCCGATTCTTATCAGAGAAGACGATCCATGATTCTTGATCAAGTTATGCTGTATGCTGGGACCGGCTTTGCTGTCAGTAAATGTTTACAAGAGTCCTCAGAAGGCATGTAGTGAGCAAAAAAAAGAATAAAGCATCCAAAATAGCGGATATGGTCCTCTTGTCACGTCACATCTTCAGGAGAAGTGGCTGTTGGATCAGTATGACTTGACGAGCCCGCTACATGACGACACCAACAGCCGGAGCCTCACTGTGTTCAATGTGTTGTTCCTGTCATCAATCGTGGGCCCGTTTGGTTGTCCATGTCCCATTGCTCAAGGTTTCAAGACGAAGTGGCACGTGCCGCAAAAGGACAAGGATTCTTTCTATGAGTACGTTGCTCGGCAGCACATTTGCAGTACGTTGCGTGCACTTTGAATGTTTTTTGTGGAGATTGCGTTGTTGCTAAGGATGACTGGGTGGCAGCAACTGGCTGCGATGGCTTTTTGTTTCTCTGGCCCATCCCAGAGTCAGCAGCATCCATTGAGGATGCACAGGCGGCAACAAAATGTAGCGCAGATTCTCGACACCGAGTTCCTCCCGTCATCAGGCCAGCTGCAGCAACATGTATCACGGATTTCTGGCTTCATAGGGCAGTAGCAGCGGCGATGGGTTCATGCGGCGGCTTTTGCCACTTCTGACAGGTGCAGGAAACTTCATGCTGCGCCATGTATTGACTTTGCAGTTGACTGGCGCCTTGGTCGTAGAGATTGGGGCCTCAAATCAGTCGTTGGTTCTTTTCATTTGCCAGCATTGTGCATTTGGAACACGATCTGACCGTTCATAGGGCAGAGAGCCAGGAAAGCAATGCGTGCCATCACTTGCGGACTTGACAACAAAATATCAGTGTACAATTTCTCAGAGGCAGGCCAGTGATCCAGAGATTGCACTTGCCCGTATTCCTCCGTGCTGACGTGATTTGCGATTTGCGTGAAGGACAATCATGATGAAATTCGTGAAAAAAGCACGGAACAAGGCTTTTTGTGCATTGCATCTAAGCCGCACTCTGAGATTTGCAACAGGCCAAGAAGCTATTTCAGGATTTGCTGGAGCTTCGCTTGCAATCGCTGTCAGGACGCAAAGCTTGAAGATGGAAAGGCCGCAGCTGGAACCAATTTTGGTCACATCAAGGTGCTGGACGTGGAAAACAAGAAATTCCTCATGTCCATGGGCCTCATTAATTATGGAGCACCACACTCAGCGCTGGAGCTGGCGGCTTGAAATCTCAGGTCGTTGCCTGGCCATCAAGATCACTGCAAGGCGAGTTGTCCATGCATCATGCCGCGGCGCAGCTATCAGTAGTTATCAGCATACCATGCCTCTCGAATCAGCCTTTGCTTACGCGATATCTTCATTTGTGGAATCCACTTGACCCGTCTTGTGGACAGGGTATTCGTGTTGATTGGGACGAAAATCTTGCAGTATCTTGCTCTTGGGACAGTTTTGTTCATTTGTACGAACCTTGGCCTGCATTACGAACTAGGATCGGCTGCCAAAGCAAGAATTTCCCTGCTGTTTCCAGATTCTGACCATTTGCAGCAATTTTGAGGAGTTGTAAATGAAACTCTGAAGCAGGATCTGCGCTCGCAGAAGCTGATTCACAAACTTGTGGGCCACAATGCAAACTGTACCTGGACAGAGTTGGCCAATTAATATGCTTCCTTCTCCGCATGTACTTTTAGCCTCTGGCAAAATTTACGAGGTGTTCGGGGTTCTCTGTCAGTGTCTTGAAGTATTAGGCCTTAGCATGAGGAGTGGAGCGCTTGAGAAGTGCTTCTTGCTTCTCCATTGCATCCCCTTTCCAAGTCTTGCGTGGGTTGATGTTTGCAGGTTTGACTGTTAGGCAGTGCAATCGATGTGGACTTCCAGAAGAGAAGGGCAGCATCTACGGCAAATGAATATCGCTTCATCTTGTGGGAGTGGGACCTGAGGACTGCTTTTGCCATGCATTTTGCAAACTCCTGAATAGCGCAGTATTGCATTCTGTCAGAAGACAGTCAGGAACTTTAGGCAGCTTGCAGTCTGTGAGTCGCGTGGGCACAACGCAAACTGAGTCTTGTCTACGAAGATGATGAGCAATTCCATGATGCCATGAGCGATAAAATTGCGACATGCATTTCCCAGAGCAGAGGCCTTGTCGCGGACTGGGCAAAGGGCAGGCTTGCAACAGGCTCGGATGATGGACTGGTTAGGATCTGGAATCTCAACGAGCCAAAATGGGAGCCCATGTGGGAGAAATCAATCGACTGCATGCACGAGATGACTGTTGCCATTGACGCTGATTGGGAAAGCAACCGCCTTGTGACTGCTTCCTGGGATTACAACGTTGACATGTGGGATCTTGAGACTGGCAGCTTGACACAATACTCCGAACTTTTTTTTTGTACTTGCCGCAGCCATGGGCAACAGTTGGTTTGTGCTCCTTCCTTCATTTGGCATGACCTGCAATTCATGGCAGCTTGAAGGTGACCTCCTCCATCACTTCGTCAAACCTCGCCGATGTATGACCCAGGTCAGGATCAAGCCGAAGAACACATGAGCTGCAAGATGTATTCTACCCCATGGCTGCGGAAAATAATGCGATCTTCTGCTCTGGTAGATGTGGAAGCTGACATTGACATTTCCATTTCATGCAACACAGAGGCTTGGTCCCCAGAGGATGGTCAGCTTCATGCAGAGGCAGCGGAATGCGGCAGAGAAAGGTCGAATGCCCTGCTCCTCTTTGTTTGGCCAGGCCATCAAAAGCCACCTTGGTAAGGTCAAGACCTTGTTGACAATGGGGAAGGCAAGAAAGCAAGATGTCAGCTTCAGATTTAGCAGCTGCAAATATTTCAATGTGCTCATGCTGTGCTCATGCTGCAGGAGGTGCATGAGGTGGCGCTTCAGCAGGCTCGGGAGGCTGCCTCGAGGCTGAAGGCCATTCAACAGGAGCAGTCCATTAACGAGCCCGTGGGCCCACGCCATGCATGAAGGACACTCAGAGCAAGTGGACGGCTTCATCGGATGCCAAGCACAAGGCTTTTGAGTCCTGTTGCCCTTTGTTCCCCTTCAGTGTGTCATGCCTCTCTCCACATTGCACATTGCTGGCAGGTTCAAAGTGTGGTGGATCAGTCGCAGACGGTCAAAGACTATGCTGCTGCAGGCTCTCGAGTAAATAACATGTTCACGCAGTGCTTCAAAGGGGTCTCGTTTGTCCTTGTAATATGCAAATTTGCTACGAAAGAATCCTGGACTCCCCAAACTTGTGACACCCAAATACCATGAAACTCCAAGCCCAGACACCGAAGCCTCCTGAATGCTCGTGGGCAGAGAGTGAGAATGACACATCCAAGATATGTCAGATACCTCCAGGCTCTTCCCAAAGCCAGCTGCTCTTCGTGTTGATTGCCTCTCGGGCTTTTGCGGGCTTTTCTGTTCGTGGTTGGTGCTGGCATAGTGACCAGAGCCTCTGGCACTGGCTTGTAGGTCTCGGCCATGGGAAACTCAGTAAATTCTTCTCTTGGCCCAGGTTGTCTGTGTGTCTGTCCTCGGTGCCATGTTCTTCAACAGGATGCGCTATTACGAGAAGAAACATTTCATCTGAGCATGGACACAACATGGGCCCAAGTGGCACGTGCTAGATGTCCTCGCTTCCATGACTCGTTCTGAACGTCTCGCTGCAAGAGCTCATGGCTAAAGGGATGCCTGCAACTCTGCGCTGGGTCAAGCGTTGCCTGAGATCAACGGCATCGATCTCAGAAGCTTGGACTCACGACGTCTGATGAGTCCTTGTACGTAGGAGTTCATGAGAGGAGGCCGTGCAAGAACCCAAGTGAAGCTGGCTCCCAGTCTGGAAGAAATGATGCAAAATATGATGAAATATGTGCGCCTCTCCTGCAACTTCCAGCGTGCACATATTGCTGTGATCCACCATTGTCGCGGTGCTTTTTTAGACGGAAGCAGCGTAAACTCTAAAGTGAGCATGTCAGCTTTTTTTTTTTTTTTTTTT